ACCGCCAGCTGCTGACCCCTTTGATGTCCCTTCATATCCGCAACAATAAGCCCCCTCCCTTCTTAATACACGCATCTAGTCACAATCTTCGCGGCCCCAAGTTCAATATGTGGTTTGCTGTTGGTCGACCCGCCGCTGCAGAGCCTAGAAACGATCATCTCTCACTGGTCGGAGCAGTGTGCTCATGTCGGAGCACAACCGCAGCGTCTAGCAGCTGCACACAACAGGAGGATCCAGCCCCGTTTGTAGCAAATGCACAAAGTCCAAAGGTAGTGACAGCATGAGTAACTCCCAATACATCAGTGTGCTCAGCATCCACGCACCTCAAAAAAGGGATACCGCAGCAACCCCGACGTCGAGCAGCATAGGCCCCGACGGTCGCGCGCAGCAACACAAACGCTGCCCCCTTTCAACAGAAAAATTTCGCAAAATTAAATAATCATTCTATAGTAAAATTACATTTTAAATTTTAAATTTTCATTCCATATTTAAAAATGTCTTTCCAATTTTAAAATTTTCCGTCTTACTTGAAAACTTTCCTTCCAAGAATGGGGTATCCCTTCTTATTTGAACTTTATGCTAGAGATGGAATGAATGTCTGGATGAGTTCATGAAATATTTTAATTGGACTGTCATTCTAAGTAAGGATTTTCAGTCATAAATAAGTTAATCCAATCTAAATTAAACGATACTTGTTGTAGTGGAATGAAAGTTTAATTAAAACATTTCATAAACTCGTCCAGACTTTCATTCCATCTTGAACAAATAGATGTAGTTGGAAGGGAGAACTCATATTTAAACGGAAACTTATCAAATAAAACTGAAAATTTTAGAATTTGACAAACATTAAAATGACAATTTATAAATATGAAGGATCTTTTTTTTATGGAATGTTTTTTCAACTTTCATTTCTAATGGGAATTTTTCTGTTGTTCGTCTGACGGGCCACCAACAGCTTAGCGGCAGCGCGAGGCAACCCGTAATAAAAAGCAGCAGTCGGGCACCTGGTATAGTCCGCCAGCCTACAAGGGGCCCCGCTTGGCACAGTAGCTCCCCCCCTTAGTTCATCCCGCACTGCCTACCCCTGTCTCGTAGGCTAGCCACTCATCGGTACCCCACAGTCTAACCCAGCCCTCCGTTCCTGCTCGAACAGATGGCTGTGAGCAGCCGCAAGCAACTCTCCTATCCTATTGGTTGCCAGCGACCCTTCCACTCCACCGGTTGTTAGCACCCTGCTCATACTCGATTAGTTGTAGGCAATCCCCCCCCTTTTTTGCGAATGAATCTGGCCGCAAACCCCGTCCGGATGCACCCCCCCCTTTTCTTGGCTTGCTTCCACCGTCTCCTGCATACTAGTCTTTCWWCTAACCTCCACTCCTACTAACTCTCACCTRAAACCGACGTTACCTTCCCACTCGCCCGACCCGYAAACCCCAGGTTTGCACCTTCGCCYGCCAATTCTCGTCAAAGGCCGAGCGGGCCAAGCGATTCMTGTTCCTACCATAGCCAGCCTTCGCCATACCCCCGGCGCACTTACTTCTTCTAACAGCCTCTATTTTACTAACATTCACCTACAACTAACCCCGTAATCCTACTCGCCCRACCCTAGAACCTATGTCCAGCCCTTTCCCCGGTCGTTTTKGTCAATGAACGAGCGGGACGTGGCTTCTTCTTCTCGTGCCTTCACTCTCTGAATGAGTCCCGCGCGAGAAACCATCCGGATTCATTTTTGTCTYTGTAGYCTTCACCCAGTTCTCTTCCTGCATCCGCCCGCGCTGTCCGTCGCAGCTCCGAATGCCCCCAGCGCAACCAACCTTCCCGGTTCAATCGCCCTTCCTTCTCCCTGCCTTTGTTGTCCTATCCGCCCCGCCGTAGCGCTCTGCCCACGACATTCATCTGATGGTGACGTCACCATCGGCCCCTCCAAAACCGCGCAGTCCGACGGTCTGCTGAATGTCGAACGACCCATTCGGCCGACGGCCTTCTCCCGTTTATACGAGCCACCTCCGACGCCGGGGCCACGCTAGTTTCCTCCGTATCGTTCCAATCTTAACGGATGTCTCGAAGGACTGCGGTCGGGGTGATGCCCCACGGCGATCCCAAAAGTCACTCGGCCTCCCCTACGTCCGGGTTCACGCAGATCTCCTCCGCCTTACTCAGATTCCCTCCCAAGGAGATCTGCCACGGTCATACCCCACTCGCCCCATTCTTCCCGCGTGAACCTGGCCCCTCCTTCGGGGCTTATGCATYAGAACCTTTGCACAGGGGCCAGGCAAATCTCCTCGGTATTGTTTCCCCCGATCTTCCCTGTAGCCGCGTCAGCAAGTTGGCCAGTCCTGCACGACTTTACCCCTGCGGACCCCCCCTTTTGCCCGTACCCGGCCCGTTTCTCGGCCGGGTCTATTCCCGTTTATGAGTGTTCCCTTTTGCACGAAGACCATGCTAATCTCCTTTGTATCATCCCCATCCTTACGGATGTCCCACAGGGCTATCGCCGACGTAACACCTCGCGAGGGTGCTAAAGGTCACTCGGCCTATGTTGCGAGGCTCCACGGGTGCTCCCATTCCACCACCCCCATGGTCTACGGCCTAGGTCCGGAACCAGTGTCGGGGCCCTGGTAATCCAAATAACCAAAATATTTAAAGTAAATCAAAACACGACCCAACATATCACGGGGGGGGGGCTATCGGGAACGAACGGCGGGGCCTACCAACAGCTCCCTGGCCCTGCAAAGCGGGCCCGCGATTGGACTCCCCCAACAAAACTAAGGGGGATAGCCCCGCAGGACCCTCAACCCCTCAGTTTCTYCGGCRTTCCGCTGCTCTTGCGCTGATGCCTGCTGGCCTCGATCCCCACTCCTCCGTCGCAATAGTCCAACACCGTAGTAACYGCCTCGGCCACTCCTTCGGCCCCAATCTACATTCACGGCCCCTAAGCGTCTACGCCGGCCTGCMAGCCTGTGCCCGGGCCATCCCATATGCCTACCGACGCGCCAACCCTACCGCTRGGCCGCGCGCACCGATAAAAAATAAACTTTTGTTCCCTAACCAAGGCCGTAACACGATCCGGGCCGGTCGACTAGACCGGCCGCCTACTTCAACCAGAARAAAATCACACGCGCGTCYCAAAATTGCGCGCCCACATACTCCCTACCGGGACAAGGSAGACCTTTGCCCGCGCGTGGACGACCCTCACATTTCCCGCACGGGCACTCAAAATTCAGGTTAACCAAGCCTTTATGTCACTTGCAAAAACCAGGGCGGATACCCTTATAAGGGTATTCGCGCCGACAGCTTACCGAACCATATTAAGCGACGTCCCCGTCGCTCCGCCAGATCAAAAAGCTATAAATCYATCCACACTCCAAATGCTGACGAGGTTAGAGCCAATCTGATTAGCCGACAGACCCAGGGGTGAGGCCTCCATCAACCCGTGCTTCAYAACTATATGCTGCCAGGATTTCAAGYTGGGTCTCCATTGCCCTGACACCAGGACGCCGGTGTATTAYGCGTCAATACTACARCATAAGTTCCAAAGGCCCTCAAACCATCCTCTTCCCCTYCTGTCCTAGACAACCGCCGGCCWCTCGTTAGGTGTCCCAGTTAGCCTCTTTCTCATAGACAAAGCCATARCTAGGGACGCGGGCTTTGAATGAGACTTGTGAAGGCATTCTTGCCTTCGTTTARCAATTTTCTCACCATTAAACAAAATACATACATATAGCTTATAGCCTCTCTCGGCCTTTTTTGCAGTCTAGTACAAAAACGCCAGGTCTCCATCTAAGCCCACCATAGCCTGGTCGATCGGGTCAGGTCTACGGCCCACCGCATTGTTACCTTAGCGGCGGTATCCTTCCGTTGGTTATACAACGGTAGGTGTTTCTTCTAATAATCAATTAATCAGGATTTTCCAACAGACTCGACTCCTATCCCGCGGAGTAATTTCTCTGGGGCGGGCAACTCCCCTTAAACTCTTACCGCGCGGGCACGCAGCCAGGTTGTGCCGGCCAGCAGCCGTCCACTAGGGGTTACGCCCAAGTGGCACTAAGYTTTACCGTTAGCTCGGTATTCCTCTAAGTATGCCTCAGAATTAGCACAGGTGGTCGGGCGGGGCCTCACAAACAATTCACAGGCTACTGCGGGACTACGCAAGGATCTGAAGGCATTTACCGACCCTCCTATAATAGGCACGRCCTCCTTTGCTCAATCACAAAYAGTCTCCCCGCCGGATCCACAAGGCCGCGGCTCCTGACTTGATCAGAGTCAGTAGTCGCCCATCCTGAGGCATCTCTCGCCMTTTTCAAACATTTCAAACAAACATGGTTCCCTCTCGTCAGACTTTATCAACACAAACAATGCTTCATATATCATTCAATTTTTACCCACCCTTGCTTGGTCAAGGGTGCCTCTCACAAAAGATTTCACGGCCATCCCCTTTTTGTATGGGATGACTCTCCACACAACCTCTTCCAACCACGAAGGGGCTTTGATAACAATACAATTCCCACCTCCCAGAACCATGAGGGGGTGTCTTAATCACTACACAACTCAAACTGAGGGACCATCTTCAGGGTCCTCGTACAACTCAGACAAAGGTGTTTAGTAGGACCAAGCATGCAAATTTATGAATTCATCAATCCCGTAGGATTCTCACAATTTTTCACAAACAGGCTGCACTTCCCCTCCTTATGCTCTGCCCTCTCGTCCGCTTGCAAGCAGACCGCACTAATATATCGGAGGGTAGACAACTTTACAAATTACACAATCATGCCCACGAAATGTAACCTGTACAGCTCTCACACAAAGTCAATCATACATCAGGATAAAGCCACACATGTGAGAGTGGTAGTGGTCGTCACAAGACAAGTCCCATAGAATCTCAATTCATGATACACTAAGGGAGTAGAATGCCTCCCTCAAAACTCAAACACCAACACTCAACTCAAACTATGTCCATCTGAGCATGGTTCCCAACCCCACTGTACACCCCCGGAACACGCTCGGGGACACAACATTTACTCAAAATCTAAGGGGTGCCTAACTCCCCCGTCTCACCTAACTAGGGAAACTCATACCCAAGTCTCTTTCAACTCAAGTAGTCTCCGCACCGCGAAATAAAAAATGGACTGAGTAGCCCCATGTGTCCTACGGCCAACCCTCATGCCCTAAGTCGTAGCCTCAAGGAAAACACAATCAACTATGTATATACGAGCAGGCAGGGACTCATCCTACCACCTCTAGAGTATGCACACATCTAGGAGCCCCTCAACCAACTAAACATATGTACACCTCCAACCTTCCCTCTGTGTGCCAATTAATCTGACCCTACTGACGCATAGATAGAYCAGCCCCTACTTACACAATTCCTCCTGGTTCTGCCTATACAACTGAGCCCTGCCCCCGTCCGGAGCTCGCTCTACTATCCTGCCCTGCCTGTCCGGAGCTCGCTCTACTACTCCGCAACTCGCCCCTCGGCCTTATCCTCGAGGAGTTCTGGGCAGTCCACGGCTCTATGCCCTTTCTCCTTGCACCAAAAACAGGAGGTGTCGTGCCACCTGGCAGTCTTCTTTTTTCTCCCCTGCGAACTCGATGTCGAAGGCGTCCCCTTGGTCTCAGTAGTTACCTCATGACACGAGGACAATCCCATATGGCCTTGAGGTCGAGGCTCCATAGCCTCAGCATTCTCACCCCCTCGTGCGGCTGTGCTCAGTGGCCTGCAGTCTGGCATATCCAACTCTCGGGGACCCTCCTCATGAGGCCCCTCTGTCACCACCACCTCATCCCCACATGCTCCTGACGGTTGAGAGCCCCCCATGGCGGTGGGCTCACTCATGACCTCTTGCTGCTGCTGTTGCCGCGAGTCAGGCCCTCCTGAGTCCGTCCCCGTGGCCCAGGAGCCCAACTCTGCCCTCAACTCTCCCAACCTCGGGGCATGCTCTGGAGCGTCGAGTCTCTGAGGCCCCTCCTGCGGCGTGCCTATCCCCATGGCTGCCGCCAGCTCATGCAAACGCGAACCTTTCCTCTCGGTGGACATAGCCATAAGCGACTCCTGCGCGCCACCCTCCTCCTCGACTGCGTCCAAGGGCACCTCCTCCATTGGCTCGGCCTGTCGAGGGACCTCCACTGCTACTCCTTGACTCGGCGAAGCCTGCATCCCTYGGCCCTGGCCATCGGCAMCAGCTCGCTCCGCGTGGCTAGCCTCCCAGGCTGCCGAGAGCCTATCCACAGCGGYCGCTATCTCCCCAAATCTCCTCTCCCACTCMACCTCTCTGGCCTGGCTCCTCGCCCTCTCCTCGGCAAGCTGAGTAGTCAGGTGCTCCACCTCCAACTCTCTGACCCGAAGCTCATTGCTGAGTAGATTATACTACTGGAAGGATGTAACTGTCGTCTCGCATACCCTCCGATCCATGCGCTCAATCGCCTGTCTGGTCGCTCGTCGAGCAGGGACGAAAGTCGGCCTTAGTGATCCGATGGTACCGAGTGGAAGGGCCGGTGCTCAAATGATAAAAGTTACTCTAGGRATAACAGGCTGATCTTCCCCAAGAGTTAACATCGACGGGAAGGTTTGGCACCTCAAATCGGGGCAATCGTCCAGTAATGGGAAAATAAAGTAGAAAATTTGGCTATATGTTGGGACATCCGTAGTTTCTAATCAAAAACATAAGTAACAATAGCGTAGGAAATGAATTGAATGAATTCGGATTATCAGCAGGGAAGTTTCTTCAAGATACCCCTCAACGACCACATGCCGCGGAGAACCCCAAGTCCCCCATCTCCCTCAGCTCACCCGTCTCCTCGTCCGCCTGTCCTGCCTCTCGTGACCTCTGGCGGGCTGCATCCCTCTGGCTCTCATACCTAGCCCACAACTCGTCGATCCTCTGCTCGATCGTCTTGGGCTCGACCGGCGGTGTCGGCTCTATTCCTGCTGCCTCCATCTCAGCCTGCCTCGCATGTATTTCATCCTGACGGACCCGCACTCGGGCGGACTTCTCTTCGGGGGTCTCTCTCGGGGTTCTTCTCACTCGCGGCCCCTGACCCTCTGGAATTGACGCCTCCGCCCCCATCCCCTCGCTCGTGCATGGCACTGCTGGCGGTAACTCCGCTGGAATGGACTCCTCGATAACTGGGCTCTTGGTCACGTGCATGGCCGATGGCAAGTCAAGGGGCGCCTCCAACCTCGCTCTCTCACACACTCCCTGACCCTCCGCCTTTGCCTCCTGCTCAGGCATAGCAGTGGCCTCAGGGGGAGACTCCGGAATCTCCTCGCTGTCCGGCTCAGGAATCCCCTCTGGCCATGAATGTTGTGCTGGCTCTGGAACTGGGGAGCATGGAGGGGTATCGTCTCCGACCGTGATCACCTCCTCACCCTGAGGTCGTACCTGATCCGGCTGCTCGGCTGCCATCTCAGGATTCAGCGGCTCCTCTCGGTCTTGCCTGCCCGTCTCCGTCTCGAGGTCCAAAGGATCCTCCTGTGGCACATAGTGCGTCGGCTCAACWGAGCCCTCCCCTAACTGTGAGGCCTCCCATCRAGATACATCAAGATGAGTCGCTAAGCTCCGACATGGTGTTTCTCTGCTCCTGCCCTGATGGCAATGGTGAGGGCGGTCTCAGCTCCTCGCTCGTAATCCGCCGAAACTCAACTGCCCGGAGGCCACAAGCCGGGAACGACTCCTCTACCAATGCGGGCCCTGCGGGCTCACCCTCCCGCTGTGCTGGGGCCATTCTCCTCTCTCTGGCCAGCCCCACCTCTCTCGGTGCCGGCTCCTTTGGCCTCTTGCTTCGCCGTCGCCTCTCGATCTTGGGCTTGTGCCTCTCGCGCTCTGGCCGTTTGAACRCCCTCCTGAGCTCGGCCTGACAGTCCTCCCAGTCTCGAGCCCTCTCCCGAATCTATTTGGCCACCGGCCTCTCCGCCCCCCTCGTCCAGATAAGTAGGGCCTGCACCCACTCCTCCCGCGCAATTCCCTGACTCAACATGTAGTGCTCATATGCGGGAATGAAATCCTCCGCGTTCCCCTCCTCCAATCGGATGGGCATGCCATCGCGCCSTCTAGRGGAAGCTTTCAACCTCTRCATCCCGGCCTCCACATCCGGCCAAGTCAGGGCCTCCTCACATATCTGAGCGACCGGCTCCTCAAACCGCCCTATACCCCTCAAGTGGTGGATCCTCTCCGCCACTGACCACCCTCTCTGTGTCGCATGATCCCGATATACGTCCAGGAAAARCTCTATGTTATCATCGTCAAACTCAGGCGTAGGCTCCCTCCTAGGCGGCTCGTGTTGCTCGCCTCTCCCCGCTGCTCCCTGGGGCCCCTGCCGTGGCCGTGTATCCCTTCCGCCCCTCTGCATGACTACCTTCGAAAAGTCAGACCTGCACAACAGGCGAGAGACAGCAACAGGCACACAGCAGGGTCAGCAATTGAGCCCATTGGCTTGGGGAAACCTCACATACATCCCACACTCATCCACCCCAATCTCCCACCTATCTAATCACCTGACATGGGTAACACCTAGGCGAGGCTCTATTCCTAACGAGATCTCAAGGTGCCTTACCTATTCCCTGGCCACGAACTTCTTCAGCCTTGTCCCTGATACCCAGTCCTGCCACCCTGCCCCATCCAGCTCTTCAATTTGGTAGGCCCCAAACTCGCCACACCGCACGATCCTATAGGGCCCYAGCCATCGCTTATCTAGCTTCCTGGACCATTGCTTTTCCAGCAAGGAGTCATACAGCAGTACCACATCCCCAACTTTCAGCGAGTCCTTCCTTATCCGGGYCATCTGGTCCCATCTCATCTTGTCCTCCATACGACTTCTCTCTACCTGACCAGCGGCTTCTCGTAACCTTTCCTCAGCRGCTCCCACCTACCGCGCCCGTATATCGAGCAACTCTTCAAAGGACAGGTTCACTTCCAGGTCCTGGCGCTTCCACGTCTTCATGAAGCTTTCTATGGGAAAGGTGGCATGCCTTMTGTACCATAGAGTGGCCGGCGCATACTTTGTAGTCCTTTTCACTGTAACATTTTCCACGAAGAATGCTGCTCTCAGGAACTTCGGCCACTGGTTAGGCTTCTCCTCAGTCCATTTGGCCAGGAGATTTGTGATGGTACTATGCCCCCTCTCCACAGGTGCGTTCGCCTGGGGGTGCGMGGCAGTAGTATAGTTCGCTACCACACCATACCCCGCAAGCAAGGTCCGCACCTCATTACAAGTGAACTCCGACCCCCGGTCCATCACAAATTCTCTGACAAACGAATAGCGCAGGTAGTACTCTTCAATGCACCTTGCTAAAACTGGGTCAGTCTTTGTACGAATAGCCCGACCGTCCACGAACCCGGTAAGGTTGTCCCGTGCATCGAAGATATAATTACTTCCATCCTCCCCGAGTGGCATGAACAACAGGTCCAGGTGTACGACTGCACCCACTTCCCTTTCCAGCCTGGGGTGCAGAGGCTCCCAGGCCTTTGCGCTGACCTCTGTTGGCAAGGTACACAAGACTGGCAGTACTTGATGACCATAGTCAGCATTCCATCCCAATGGTATAACTCACTTATCTTTGCACACGTGGCACTAACCCCTCTGTGCCCCCCCGCTATACCATCGTGTAAGGCTGCTATGACATCGGTCTGCCGGTTCCTCCCACATACGATCCTCTTGGGGTTTCCAACCGGTCGCTTTATAAACAGGTGGCCATCTCTTACCACGTAGAGATGC